TTTCTAGATATTAATCAAGTTTCTGAAATTACTGTTGTCTGCTGACTCAATAAAAAGTTTAAAATGTTATGCCTTCTAGGAAGATTATGAAGAATTGTGTGCTGAAATTGTTAATTCCAAACCTATGACAATCTCTGAAGATGTGGAACTGAAGGCTGAAGATTTTATTGTTGGTTTTGTTTTACTGGTAAAGGAGAATATTTGTAGCTCAGAGTTGAAATGAGTGGTTCTTTGTGCTCTCTGAGCTCACTTGGTTTTTTGCAGATCCTTCATTACCCAAACTAGGTAACATCATCAGTGCTAGCAGTGATTATGATATTTAGTTTGGATAACGAAACGTCTGCAAGAAAACAACCAAGCTCAAGTTTTGTGTTTTTTAATAGAATATCTTACTTTGCTTTCTTAGAGTGTATGTATATAAATTGTTAAATGTGCTTTATTTTGAATTCCTCTTATAAATAAAGGTTATTAATATGGATTATGGAATGAAAAATAAGAACCCCATCAGTAATGTTCATTTTTACTGCAAGGATGACATCACTCAGGCAATTAAAATTACAAGAGATCAAGTAAGTAAAAATTGGCTGGTTTTGCCAGTTTATTGTGTTGGTTTTAAAATAGCCATTATATTGCAGGTAGTCCTTGATTTATGAGCATAATTGAGCCCAGGATTATGTTCAGAAGTCATGAGGTTATCATGTGATCATATCTGAGTTTACAATGTTTTTTATAGCAGTTATAACATAAACCCTGTGGTTGTACTGCAAACCCTGCAATCATTAAGTAAATCCTTTGTCCTCAATGGCCATTTTTTTGCTAGAAATCAGAAGCAAATGCTGGTTGCTTGGGGGGGGGATGCAAATCATGGTTAAGTGATTGTAGGATTGTGCAAATAACCGTAAATATGGACCAGTTGCTGAGTGCCCAAAATATGATATGTGACTGGGGAGGAGAACAGCTATTGCTACTTCAAATCTGTGTCAAAAGTACTTTTTGGAGGGTTCTTTGTAACTTTGGATAGTTGCTAAGCAACTGGTCATAAGTCAATAATGATATTTGGTTTTAAAGGGTGAATCCTCTACACCAGCTCTGCTTTTATTGGATCCTCCTTTTATAATGGCTTTCAATTATCTTTTTTTACTGCTTGGGAAAGATCAGGAAAGTCATTGAAGTTAAGTGTTTTAATTATTTCTATCTTTAAGGTTTCACAGCTGCTCCCAGAAAAATTTGCAGAGCAGATCATCAGAGTTTATTGT